TTTAATAGATGAGAAAAAGGTGGTTGAGAAAATTTAACTTCTTGGATAAATGCACTAAATTTTTTTAAAAATGCTTTTCTTTTCTTTCTTTCTTTCTTTATTTTTTTAGAAAAGATGACCGGTAAGGGGATCTTAACCCTTGACTTGGTGTTGTCAGCACCACGCTCACCCAGTGAGCAAACCGGCCATCCCTATATGGGATCCGAACCCGGGGCCTTGGTGCTATCAGCACCACACTCTCCCGAGTGAGCCACGGGCCGGCCTTTAAAATGCTTTTCTCTTTAGCCTTTAAATCATCTTCAAAAAAGTATGGTTTGGCTGTGAAACTTTAAAACCAACTGTATCGGGCCGGCCCGGTGGCACAATGGATAGTGCGCCGCTTAGGAGCGCGGTGGCGCTCCCACCGAGGGTTCGGATTCCATGTGGAGACCGGTTCCCGCTCACTGGCTGAGCGCAGTGCGGGCGCAACACCGAGGGTTGCGATCCCATTACCGGTCAGTAAAAAAGACAAAAAAAGGAAAAAAAAAAAAAAAACCCAACTGTATCTAATTACCTAATACAGTCCTCCCAGAAAAATAAAAAGCAATGATTTAGGTTTACATATTCAGGAAACAGAAAAATAATGGTCAAAATGTTGTAAAGTTATATGAAAGAATTTTTATTTTTCTCCCCCATGCTTGAAATGTTTAATGACTTCCCAAAGACATTTTATCCTAAAATAGCACCTCCCATAAAATCTGAATTTTTAGGTTTCAAGTCACTATATAAGTTTATTCGTAATACAAATGTACCCATTAAGTAAAATCTGAAGTTTAAAGGACAATGGGCAAAATATGCCATTAATTATGTGCAAACATATTGTCTAGAAGAGAGTTATATAAGTATAACTAGTCAATTATGCAAAGCTTGAGCCCTGGGCTGTAAATAACCCCTGCAAAACTGACTCTAGTAGCCCAGAGTTCACCAGCTATCTAAAAGGAATAATTTTACAATCCAGGATAGGGCATGCTTTCGAGAATCATTACAGTAGTTAAGATGATATTATTTCCTAAAATAGAACCAAACAGTAGGGAAAAAAAGCTTAACCAAGTGTATAGTGAGTTGGGAGACTATTTTGTGTGTGAGAGAGAAACCAAATTGCTGAGATACTAAAAATAATAATCTGATTTATAAGGCAATATAAAGTGATTTTAAAATATTCACTTAAAATACTTTTGACCTGGTCATTGAATATAATCTGCACTTTGTTCTTAAGAAAATCTACAACAATATGTAACATTAGGAATTTGTTTTCATACATATTTGGCAATTGCATTTCACACAAATTTTGAAGTTCAGCAACTTCAGATCCAAATATTTTTGCCAAGTGAAGTGCTAAAATTAGTGAACATAAGCAGTGCACCTTCCTCCAAGAGAAGAATTCTACTGATTTGCAATCAACCATTTATTGAGAGGTTACTATATGCCGAGTGCTATATTTTAATAAAGTAATGTATTTAAATTTAAAACTACACACTGAATACTGATTGAGGAATGAAAGTCCTACAAAGGGTAAAAACATTAAGATACAGGAAGGGTGACTGGATAAGGGGCATAAAGAATAAGTATGATTTAGAACAGTGAATATGCAAATAAAAAATAAATTTAAAAAATGATGGAAAAAATAAAGCTTGGGAGCATGTAGTATTAAAAAAACAGTAAGATGGGGCCGGCCTGGTGGCGCACTGCTACAGTGCGCCGCTTGGGAGTGCGGTGGCGCTCCTGCCGAGGGTTCGGATCCCACATACAGACCGGCCGCTCACTGGCTGAGCGAGGTGCGGGCGCAACACCGAGGGTTGTGATCCCGTTGCCGGTCCTGGTCCGGTACGGGCGCGACACTGAGGGTTGCGATCCGTTGCCGGTCACGAAAAAAGACAAAAATGAAAAAAAAAAAAAAACCCAGTAAGATACATTAATTGAAAACTAATTATTTAACTCATTCAAAATATAACTTATAAAATATAATTTATAGTTAATGAAATTACAATTTAAGTGGGAATCAAGCTATGAAGCTCTCATGCTAAGGGAGAGGTAACTAAAAACTTACTTTAAAAAAGCATGCATTTAGGGCCGAGCCCATGGCGCACTCAGGAGAGTGCAGCGCTGGGAGTGCAGCAGCGCTCCTGCCGTGGGTTCGGATCCTATATAGGGATGACCAGTGCACTCACAGTGCTCACTGGCTGAGCGCGGTGCGGCCGGTCTCAAAAAGGACACACACACACACACACACACAAAAAGCATGCATTTAATATATCATTTAATTCAAACATTTTAATTGAAAGCCAACTTCAAAAAGTATCCCCTAACTGGAAATTATCCATTTCCATCTCCAACAATAAAGTACGTTAAAATATTAAATAATTAAATTCCATACGGTGCCAGCACAAAACATAAAACAAAACTCATTTATGAGCTGAATATTGGAACAACCATTTTTTTTTAAATTTAAAAATTTTTTTTTAAAAAGATGACCAGTAAGGTCAGCACAAAACATAAAACAAAACTCATTTATGAGCTGAATATTGGAACAACCATTTTTTTTTTTAATTTTAAATTTTTTTTTTTAAAAGATGACCAGTAAGGGTATCTTAACCCTCAACTTGGTGTTACCAGCACCACGCTCTCCCAAGTGAGCCACGGGCCAGCCCTTAACGACCACATTTTTTGTTTTTGAGTTTTTTAATAATATGAACTACATTTAAGAAAATGTAGTTTTATTAATATTATTTTTTACATTCTAGGATGTTTTTGTAGAGCAGTTGGGAGGGAGGTGGAGAGGGGAGAAGGGAAAGGGAAAGGAAATGGGATGGAAGAAGGAGGAAGGAGGGGTGGAATTGAGGCCTGTGGCACCCCCCTCATTCCCACAGGGAGACCAGGGGGCTTCCAGCGGTGGCTGGAGCATTGCCAGGGTGGCAGGGAGGTGTGATAAAAGCCCTCGCCCCCCCATCCCAGCTCAGGAACCCGGGGCCCTTCTTGCTGTGGCTTGGTGGTCATCACTAGGCTGGTTGCAAGTGGGGACAACCATGTTTTAAGACAGTAACACTTAGTAAGCCCAAAGCAGAAATTTTAATTGACATCACTTAAATGGTCCCACTGTAAGATGTCTTCTGAAAATAAAACAGTCTCTATTTTTAAAAGACAACATAACACACATTCTCTTGCAAAATAAAGATGCCTGGTGTTTTCTCTAAAATCAGAGATTTTTCTTAATGTTCAAAGTTTTCACCTTGAAAGGGTAATTAGGAGGGTTCCAAAGATGAAAAGTTCTAAATGCCTCAGTAGCACAAAGCTCTCACACGTGAACTTAACTAAAATGATATAAAACTCAACTGTACTTATCCTATTTTTAAAATGATAAATCCTACAAAAATCTTCAAATTATTTACAATTTTAAATTTGATTACATTTATTCACAAGAAAGCCATTACATGTTTTAATAAATGTTGTAAGTTTTGAAATAATCCTTTTAAAACTTTGTAATTTGATCAGCTACAGCTGTCTGAACTCTTAAGAGATACACATAGGAAAGAGACAATACCAAATAGGAGCAGTAACTACACAGAACAGATCTACCAGGGAATGACCATGAAGTCCACAAACAACTAATGGAAGTTATAGGGCTTCCATCTGCACAACCGTTCCATTAAAAGAGAAGGGAAAAACATCATAGGCCTATGCCTTACCATTGCGCTACTCTCTCAACCGTCTGAAAAGATTCTTATTAGCCATGAAAGAAATCCTCAAGAATGAGTAAGTGGTTCAGTAGCAAACTGTAGTTTAGGAACATTTCAAACTCGAATGACTTTCCTTACAAAATAGGACAAAATTTCAAAGAGCATCCCACACCTGATCAACATTAAGAACAAACCAAAGCGGCAATACAAAAGTCTGCATTTAATCCACTTCTTATAGTTTAGAAAGTTCACTGTTAATAAGCGAAATATTTCATTTAGCTTTTCAATCTGAATATTTCCACATAACTTATCTTAAATTCTGTGTATGGCCACTAAATACTTTCCTGTTGGTAACTTCTACTCCAACCTATAAGTTTAGAACACTTTTGAAATCTCACATCCCGCTCCAATGCCGATCCTGAGAACTGAGAATTACGTTGTTATACTTAATTTTTAAATAGGAGTTACAGAACTGAACAATGAACCTCCCTTAAATAAATGGCTTTATTATAATATACATTACAAATAAGTTCTTCCTCAGTTTACCGTTGACTCAGTAAAGTCATTAAGTCTTCCACCTTGACAAGCCAGTAACAAAATGGCTATTCTAAGTAAAGTGACCAAGAAACCCTTCGGAAGCTGGTTTCAAGTAGTTTTAAAACTGAAATACACATATATACAATCTGAATAAAGCAATATTGAGGAAAAATACCCCCAGGGAAGAATTTAAATCTGTATTTGAAACAAAACATTTTTACCAAAGTCACAAATTATTCCCAGAATTGCTCTGCCAAAAGTCCAACGCAAAATTCATATACTATGAAATAAGTGTGAGGAACCAGTGTTTAATTCTATGCTCCATTAGCTGAGAAGAGCTTGAAAAAGCGATTACCGTAGCAAAACAGGTTTCTAAACCAAAATGTACCTATCCTCTAAAAGGTTTTACATTATCCTTAATGACATATCAAAGATCCACGATAAAATATTGAAAAGCCCAAGATACAGGTCAGAAGATTTTTAAAAATTTAAAGGGTACACCTTTAAATTAGTTTTACTGTTTGGTTTCATATATGTCAATGTCCACTCCAAGTAAACTCATTACGTCTCTTCAACACGGTACTGAGCTTGTCAGAGGCTCATCAAAACATTACTCAGGTTAATAAATTTCAGCTGTTACTTGATGTTAGCACCAAATCAAGCATTAAGCAAAGAATAAATGCAACAGCCCACAACTTTGATAGAGGTTAGAAGAATTTTACAAAGAAAAAAATCTGAAAGGCAGCTCACCTGCAGTTGGGTGGAGGGTCTAAAGTGATGTCTGCCAGTTCCTTCTGAATCCTGGAGTCAGGCCATGAGAGAGAGAGACAAACACAAGAAACATTAAGGCGTTGGCAGCCTCCCACCTGTACCGTACAGGTGTGGCAGGTAAACCTGGCCGCGATCACAGGATTCTACTAGGGACTGAGGAAACTACACATCCCGAACTCAGATCCGAGTTTAGGAAAAAGCTGCTTTCCCAGAGGCAGTGAGCCGGCGGACCCGGGCCTCTTATCTATAACGTCTGGGCTCCAATCTTGACTCGCACACAAGGCAGTTCTGCTTCTCGGTGTTTTCCACGTAGGAAATAACTTCACAGGGTCTCACGTGCAGACTAGTCTCCTGAATCCCTCCCCTCCATCTCCGCTCGCCGGGACCGAGAAACCTCAGCCATCGGTAGGACGCGACAGTCTCCGGCCTCGCCCTGCCCCTCGGGGCCCGCCAGGGTCTTGCGCCCCCAGATGCCCTAACTCCCACCCCCCGCAGGACGTCCCCCCAGGCCGAGGGTTCCCGGAGCGGCCCGACAACCGCCCCCCACGGCCGCCCCGAGTC